TGAACTAGGTGGAACTTAGTTAAGCGGATGATAAAGTTGGACGGTGCAGCAGATTAGTTTTAAGTGTCACTTAAATATTTAAGTGACACTTAGCTAAGTGACGCTTATGATGAAGACGGTGCAGTTGGCCCTAGGTGTCCCATGTATACGATAATCTTGGATTGTGAACGATAACCATGCTTGCCGGATTCACAATTTTATCTTACCATACCGAACAACCTCAAGTTCAGTTCTACAAATGAAAAATAATCAGCAATAAACAGGGTTGGCTGTTGGCTTGATCTTTTTCAAGTGATTTCAATCATGATTTAAATCACCTGACTTTATATTTCGACTCAAAAAAATATAAAACAGAACACAAATAATTCTAAGAAATGGAAATCAAAATAGAAAACGGTCCATGTGAACTTAAAAATTAAACGGTAGTATGTAATGGTAAACTCAATAATACTAAAACGGAAATCACTTCTCTTTCTCTTCATTTTCGTTATAAAGTCTGAAGAGGAACACTAATTTCCCTCCTTTTTCGATTCCCAATCTGTTCCTCATATCCGAATGAACAAATCCGAATGTGCTGAACATCCTTTCGACAGACGCAGAAGATGCAGTTGCACAAAGAAACTGTTTTATAGTAGGCAAGTGTTTCGCAATTTCCGGTTCATCTCTCTGTGATAGCCACCACTGAAGTCCGTTCATATTTTTCATCACCTCATCAGAAAACATAATTTATTTGAAAGGACTGCAGCGAGCCTTGAATTTAATAACTAGTAGCAACAATCCCGAGTTTCCATGAAGCTCACTGATAGTCTCCAAAGCCAGATTCTTCTCTTCAGGAGCTAAAGCGTAGTTTTGTTTCTCCAGGCTTAACATGTAAGCAATAAAGTGATAAGGTGTAAGAGCTTGCTTATAGCGATGTTGAAACTTCTGCTGTAGTTTCTCTAAAGATAAATTTTGTGATTACGATAAGTGACAACGATAAGTTATAACTTCAGAGTTCGTCCGTTCTTCTAACGTTTTCCTCATTGTGGTCATATTAGCGGCATTGTCCGTTACAAAAGATCGCACTTGACACTGGAATTTTGTTTGACACGGGGAAATTAAATCGCACACCAGATCAGTAAGGTATGTCGAAGTATGAGGCTTTCCAGAAGTATCAATGGTTTCACAGAGATGCGCTCGTCTTCCGTTGTTAATGTTGCGCATATGACCGGCTCGTTGTGACCATCCGTCAATCGACATGTTAACTCTTTTCCCCGAAAGAGATGAAAAACATGCCTCTTTTTCTTCAGTATAAATCTCATCCAAAAGGCTCGATGAGTCCGTTTTTCGAGAAGGAGGACTCTATCCAGGTCTCAATAGATGAATGGCTTTCTTGACTTCCGAGTTCTCGATACATCTAAATCTTTTTAATAAAAAATTTTTAATTTTAATAAAAATAAAAAAAATCATGATTTTTGATTAATTTAAAAAGTTTCGCTTGAAGCAAATGATTCATATCGTGGGCTTAAATCTAAAACTGTCTAAAATATCAATTTTTGGTAAATGCGCTTTTAAACCGAGCCAAAAATTATATCAGAATCCTTTTAGAAACTGGGTCATGAAAAACATTTTTTAGGGCACACACACCTTTGAACACAAATACTTATGGAAATTTTGGACCTGGCCACTTTCAGCGTTAAACCCACCATATTTCTTTACAAACGTCTCATTTAAGTCTGTTTTTTTGTAGTAAAACAAAAATGAGTGCTAAGAACTGCAAATTCTTATTTCTGTTAGAAAAATCATCGTAGATTTGTGGACGAAGAAAGAATGTTTTAGAAATATTGACAAAATAATTGGACAATTACATGCCACTGTACAGTACCTACTTAATAAATCAGTACAAATCTACCGGTTTCCATAAGTGCGGCCTCGCTCTGGTCGTCCCATAATCACGGGAAAGTCTAATGTAGTTAGTCAATTAAAAATAAGTTCACCAAGATTTTCAGAAGAAATGAAGGAAGAGTTCTCTCAAAAACTGATAGTCCGTAATCAATAAGAAACTGCTTGCATCGAGAAGGTTATAACGGTCGCGTTGCGACAAGAAAACCATTAAGAAACGAATAGAATTTGCCCGACAACATGTTAACAAAACCAATAAGTTTGGGGAATGTGTTATTTTTAGTGATGAAACAGAGATTAATCTTTTGGTTAGATGTACGGGATAACGTCTGG